CTAAGGCTGTGCTTAGGATAGCTTTCTTACTTCTTCTTAAAGCAGTTTTTTAGTACAAAATTTTTAATTTTGGTACATAAAAGCTATTTTAAGAAGCAGTAACAAAGCCGTCTCAAATGAACCTACATCATAAAGCAGCTTTTTTGTACAAAATTTTTAAATTTTGTATGAGAAAGCTACTTTGAGAAGAAGTAAGAAAGCTGTCCCAAACGAAGCCTTAGGTTTCATTTGTGACGTCTTTTTTATTGTTTTTTAAAATAAATTTTTAGTACCAAAATTTTAATTTTGATATTTTGATATTAAAAAATTACTTTAAGAATCAATAAAAAAGCTATTCCAAAATTTGGAACATCTTCTTTTAAAACTTTCTAAATCAAATTTTTGGTAAAAAATTTTTGTAACTCAAAATATTTATACTAAAAAAATATTTTAGAAAACAGTAAGGAATTTGTTCCAAATAAAATCTTAATTGAATGTCATAACATGACCAGTGATTTATAAGTCATAAGTTAGAACTCATAAAAAAAATTATGTCTTCTAATTACATATATGCCTCAAATGTACTATCTTCATTTTAATATTCAATTTTATTATGATTGTCTAAATTCATTTACATTATAATATAAATATAGGATTATCTTTTCAAAAAAAGAAAAGAAAAAAAAAAAAAACAATCAACTTAAGGATCTCTTCCCCCTTCAAAGGGAAAATAGCGAAGAACGGATATATACTTAGTTAGCTTCATTCATAATAATACGAAAGAACTACTCCAATACAAGCTAGTGTTGCTAAATAGGGTTGTAGAAGGGTCTAAATGTAAAGTAGCTTAATACGGTTACGAAATAAAGAGAAGCTGGTTGTTGCATGAGAGATTATTCTGTGCGGACACTGGACGGGAAAACCATCCAGTATTGCTTGGTACCGAGAGGTACTGATGCACAGCTCGGTACACTTTAGTGATGACGTGACACATTTTTATTGGCCTTTTGGACGAGCTTCGGATTCCGCGCCTAATAATTTACCAGATGAGGTGGCACGCAGTGATTATAATGATAGAAAGATTACAATATATTTAAAAATTAGTTAAATCTAATAATTTTTAAATACAATAATATTACGTTAAAAATATTTCGTCAGAAATTAATATTTTTTATGTAGTACTTTATAAATTAAACAGTGAAAAAAATAATCTTAAAATGAGTCTTGATTTTTTATTTGTTGTTGTACACTTAAAAATTTACAGCATTAGAGTGAATATTTTTTATTTTAATTTCACAAAAATTTACTAACACGTAAATAAATAAAAAAATCACTTAAGATCCATTCCATAATTACCAAATATTTATCTTAATGAAAATCTTTTTGGTTTAATATAGTGATCTAATTGTTCTTAGCCATACTATTTAAAAAATATTATTAAATTTCAAAAAATTTCAATTAGTTTATTTTGCTCTGAAGAGGATAAATTTAACAAAATTTAATTTAATTTGTTTAATTAATTAGTAACTAATAAATGTATTTATTTCCACGTGGTATCTGATAGTGCTTCTTGATCTAACAGTCCAAAGCAAGGACACGTTCCTACCACCCTTATACACGTGTTGGCCTCTAATTCTCACGTGCAAAGATTGCTCCCTGATGTGGCCACTACCAATAACATTCCCCATTGGTGCATAGGCTGAGATTAGGCAAAATTTTGAGAAAGATGCATTTAAAATTTTAAAAAATATATTTCCAAGAAAATAAATAATGTATAAAATTGAGCGTCATTATATTATGTTCGCAGTCAAGTCGTCAAGTCTGACAAGTTCTTATGATTAAGAGAAAGTATTGTCTCCTCATGATGACAATAATCGATATCATACACAGGACGAAGAATAAATATGGTTAAAAAATAAAATGATAGTAATTATATTATTTCATATTGATGATATTTTTTTTTTAAAATATGAATTATATAAAGACTCAAATAATCATAAAGATGTACTTGCCTTTCTCCTAAATATTTAATACTTTTGGACATATTTGCCAATATGACATATGATATTAGACATGTAATAAGAAATGAAAAAATAATTAGCTATTGATTATTCTTCCAAATATATTGGCCTGCTCTTTACAATTCCCCTGAAGAGCACGACAATACGTTCAAAAGTATAGTCAAGTCTTACCAATTGTTAAGATTGGCTTGTGTGGAAAGCACTACTCCCAACTCAACTCATTCTTTATCAGCTCTACTCTATTTTGCTAGCCTCTAATAATCACCTAATTTTTTGCATCTCATTAGGAGCATACAAGTGACAAACAATTGTTAAAATTGAAGCCTCTAAAAGGGTGCCCCACAATAAGCTCTATTTACTCAACCAAGATTATTTCCTAGAAAACAATCAAGATTTAAAAAAACATTACTTAACTGTATTTAACTGATACTCGTAAGTTGATCAAAGTCAATACACACTTTTTAGTTAGCAATAAGTCTAAAATTAGAACATGAGAATTTGTTTATCCTAAGAATTGGTCCTCTCCTTAATTGCCTTGTCAACATTTTAAAGTCACCCTTCCTGACTGCTCGGTCTCCATTCCTACTTCGCCAAGTTAGTCTCTTTAATTTACTTAAACTCCTTAGCAAGTCAACATGTCATTAATTCGATGTCCTTCGCTTGTGAGTTGGACCTCTCACAAAGAACTTAGGCTCTACAGGGACTTACCTAACTTGGAATATGTTCTCAATTATAAAGACTTTACTTTGCTTGACCTACTTAGTGGCTTCTCCAAGCCATCCTCCTTAATCTACTTGACATCCTCAATGTCATCTCCTACATAGTTTAGCTTCTATAGAGAACTTCGTATACTCAACATGCCAGCCTACTCAACTACTTTATTATGGAAGTCGAACATCCCTAGTCTAGAAGGCCTAGGACATTCCATCAAAGCTTTGACACTGCTTCACATTAATAATGCATATTTTTCATGTTTTCATCTAGAGTTGATGCATATCCATTGCACATAATGGCTCATCATGCATATATAAGTACTACATACCATGGCACATCACCCATTTCCTAAAAACTAGTCAATCATTTGATTGTTCAATACCTAATAATTGACACAATAGTTATTCCATAAAAGAAATGTGAATCATAATCTCTATATTGTCAATATTGCTTCTAGCGAAGAGATGCCTCCTATGAAGGCTCGCATCTTCTCCTTAAATAGAATATTTTAATTTGCTGAAAAATGCATTCTTAAATTAAAAGGAACCATCCTTTCATTATCCTTATGTCTTTATATGTCCATTCTCTATTAGTATTACCTAAATCCTGGACTTGCCAATTATACAACATATGTACCTTTTATATTGGATTTCTCACCTTCATTATCATATAGGCATAAGCTATTAAGTCAAATCATGTATATCATTTTCTTCAAATGTCTTCCTCTCCTTCCTCGGTCATTTCTCTCTTTCTTTCTATTCAAAATGATATATTCAAATTACTATAAGGTCTATCAATGTCATCTATAAAGCCACCCATAATCCCCAACTCATTTAGCCTATGCTTCTTCCCTCAAATCAAGACATATATTTGGCTCAAGCTATCATTCATCCTTTCCCTCTCATGGAAGTTATATCTCTCTCCCTTGAAAGTCACATGGCATCATCTTAACATTACGGTAGTTTTATCATTCGCATTTTAGTGCTCTCATTGAGACATATTCAACAATATTGGAAAATTAACTTAAGGGAAACATATTCAACATCCCTACTTTCCACCGCACCATAAAAAGCATCAGACACTAATTAAATATAATTTCATTTCACCTAGTGCAACGCTTTACTTGTTACTTTATTTATCACTAACAAAGGAAATGATAATAATGGATCCTTATTGCCTCCATCAAAGAAAACTTTGCAAAAGAACAAGGGTGTGAGATTGATCAGGATCCTTCAAGTCCATGTTCTTTTATTTTAACTTTTCTTTTGTATTGATGACAGAGTATTTGTAATATGATTGTATAAATTCTAAGTAGTGTATATGATTTTGATGAAATAAATACATATGTATATATTGATATTTTGATTGATAGTTTTATTTTTATTGGTATTTCTATTGATAAAAAAATTTGGGTAAATCTAGTTGATGTACATTAGAAGATAAAAAAAATCTTCCAAATTAGATTCTAGGACATCAAACATCATACTAAGGCCTAATTAGTTTTACGTTACCTAGAATTATATTAAGATAGATAACAAAAATAAAATCAGTGCGCACATGTCATTCATACACTTATTAGCTTTAGCATACACGTCTCCTTTGCATCATTAACTTCATGACCTCACTTTTACAAATTAAGGTGCTTAGGTGGTTAGCGACATTTCAGACCCATCGAACAAATTAAATCCAATCTTTAAGCTTCTTAGTTGGACATGATTAAGTCAAATCTCATCATGGATATTTTCTCCTTTAAATAGAAGAGTTACCTTACATTTCTCTAACTCAATCATAATCCTTAAGTATTTTTTTTCTAAGCCTTCACATATTTATTTTAATTTTAATTTTTTATTAGCAATAACATTTCTTCCTAAATTAATGTACCTTTTTTTTTTGAATTTTTAAGTAAATTTAATTACAAATTTACCTGCATATTAATTCTTGAATTTATTTAAAAAAACTCCCCATCACTGTGACCAACCTCATAATCAATATTCAATAGGCCAAAATGACTTTGGTAAAATAATTTAAAAAATACCTGAAATTTTGTGCCATCGCATATGCGGCGACCGGAGAAGAGTATCCACTTCGAACAAAGGCATATCCGCTTGCTCTGAGTAAACTACTCGCTGGACGCAACCAAGAATATTCTAGAATTCCCTCTAAAATCCTTTTTTCATTTTTAGACCTCTAAATCCCTTTTTTACAAAACTAGGCTCCACAATTTTATAATGCCATAATTATCCTTCTGGCCCTGTCGTCTTCCTCACTCCCACGCCGACATCACTTCTCTTCCTTTATAACACCCCTCAAGCTCCCTCTTCTCCTCCTCAACTGACCGGAAAATGGCTATTTTCGTACGGGCAAAGCACGTCACAGCTCCCCTTGACGAGCGCGTTCGCGCTCGCCTCCGCGGCGAGTTCCCCAACTACGCCAGCAGCGGCAGCGACCACGACGGCACCGCCTCCATTTCCGATGATCCCTCCTGCTTCTCAGCCCTTCTAAACGGCTTTATCGACTCCTCCGCTGACGAAGGCGATGATCCCGATCGCAACAAAGACTCCGATTCAGAGGTCGACTACTCTTCCACTCCGATGCCGATAAACTCCACCCTCGCCCTCGCAGGCAAGCTACGCGACCTCCTTTCTCCGCCGCCATCCGACGATCCGATGCGGTCGAGGATCATTTCCGACGTTGAATCTGCGGCGGCGGAGGTTGCGACGCTGCGGCTGACTGGATCGGCGTTCCGGCGAGCGCTGATGGGGCGGTTGAGAGAAAGAGGGTATAATGCGGGGATATGCAAGGCGAGATGGGATGTCGGCAGTGGATTGACGTCAGGGAGCTACGAGTACATCGACGTGGTGTTTTTACCGGCGGGTGAAGCGGACAGAAGGTATATTGTGGATTTGGGATTTGCGGCGGAGTTCGAGGTGGCGAGGCCGACGGAAGAGTACGTAATAGTAGCTACGGCGTTGCCATCCGTGGTGGTGGCTCGGCCGGAGGAGATAAGGTCTGCGGTCAGGATAATGGCGGAGGCGGCGACGAGATCGTTGAAAAGCAGGGGGATGAGCGTGCCGCCGTGGAGGAAGAAGCGGTACATGATGGCTAAATGGTTGGGGTTTTATCGCCGGACTGTGAATAGTTTTGGGGTGGTGGTGGAGGCAGGAGGGGAGGGGGAGGTGAGGTGGAGGGCGGTGGGGTTTGGGTGCGGTGGAGAGAATTAGAGGTGAATTTGAGAAATTATTAGGTGTGGATTAGCAAAATTAAAGTCTACTTGTGAAAGATGAAATTATATAATTATGTACTCATTTTTTTCATTAATTTTAAGCTCTAAATTACAAAATATATGATTTGAACTAATACTATGAGTTCTTTCATAATTCTTTACTTACGGCATAATCCAAAAAATATAGTATCAAACTATATATCATACATATAGCCTTTGGCCTTGTTTGAGACAGCTTAATTTCGCCTTTTCAGTTCTGAAACAGTAATTTTTTTGTTGTTCTTTGTATTTGCCACTTTTGCAGAGCTGTTTTTTAGAGAATTGAATTTTGTACTGTTTTCAAAATCTTTATGATATTAACTGTTATGTTAGAAAACTCTGTTCTGTCAAACAACAGTTTTAAAACTATCTTGTAAGAAAGGTACATAATAACCAATCGAAGTATTTATCCCACGATATTGGATAGTTTTCGTATGCTATAGATTCTTTCACAATTATATACTCAATGTATGCTCCAAGAAAATACGATATCAAATAGGGTTGAACTAGGAAGAGCCCACGGTGCCCGCCTGAAACTTTTTTTTCCGTAGAAAATAAACATTTTTGCTATTCTATAAAAAAATAAAAATTAGACATTTCACAATCCTATTTTACCCTATCTAAAAAAAGAGACTAGTTCCATCCCTGATATCAAGCTATGTATTACTGCTATTCAGCCTTTTTTAAATACAAGCCGTCTGTTCAATACATTAGTTATACACTAGTATTTTGCAACTAAAGTTACTCATATTTAGGCATAGTTTGGGAAAACTTTCTAATTACTGCTTTCAAAAGCTACAAAAATATTTACTGCAAGAAAATTTTAACAAAAAAAAATTATTTTAGAAAGCTTTAAGAAAGTTGAGCTTAATAATTTCTTGATGCTTTCTAAATTGAATTATAAAGGCTTCTCAATGAACCAAAAAATTGTTTTAGAAAGCATTAAGAAATAATAAAATTTTAACAAACAAAACCTTAATAATTGAATAAAAAATTATGTAAAAATATTCCAACATATTTTGCATCAGATTGAGCTTCAAAAACTTAAATTTATGCAGAGATATTATACAGTATATATAAATTTTACATATATATTTGATTTGCTATCTTATCTAAGAATTTGAAGCTCATCATAATAAAATATAGATTAAGATATCTTCACCCACATTTTTTTTATCAATAATTTCTCAATTGAGGGTATGTTTGTCTTTTTGGTGAAATTGGATAAGACGCGGCGATGGGTGGCCGTGTGGATTAGCCGCGTAGCTGACGTGGCGAGCTGCCGTCCATTGGCGTACCCGTAACGTTACAAATTTTAAATTTGTGATTTCTTAATTTCTAATTAGTGGTGAGAGTTTTGTGCTTTGTATAATTAATTTTGTGAAGCTTCGGCTATTTTTTTAATGGTTTTCTGTTTGTATTTTTCAAATATATTAATTGAGATGTTTTGATTATACGTTGAAAGTGTTGAGGAGTTCTAATTTGGAAAGAAATTAGTGTTAATGATAGGGATTTCATGTTAAGAAATTTTATTTAAATGTTAATCACATATTTAATGAAATTAACATTAAAGATATGGTTTCAATTATATTTTTAAAATGTGATTATGACTAATATTTTATAATTATTTATTTTTTTCAAAGAAGTGAGATTATTGATTTATAAAAAATTAATAATTATTATTGTAATATAAATTTGACTAAATGAGCTTTTTTAATTACAAATCTTATTAAGTAGACTTTTAAGAGGCACAATTATTAAAATTAAAAATTTAAAAATTTTATGTAAAATATAGATTTACTCACAAAAGAATGATTAGAGCTGCAAATGAGTTGGGTTAAGCTCTAATTTATTTATTTATTTTATTCTAAAGTTCTAAGTAAATTTGAATATGGTGGAGATTTAAGAGTTTGATCAATAATTGAAAATTAATAGAGCTTATCTAATTATATATGGCTTATTAATTATTTTTTAAAAAATATATTATTAATAAAAAGTATAACCATATTTTTAAAAAAATTGAGAATAATTCGCTTAGAATTATTTTAATATTTTTCAATGATAAATTAGCTTTTTAATTTATCAATCTAGGCATCTAGCACATTGCTCAATAATTTATAAGTAGTATTAATTTAAAAGAGATTTTTTTAATATCATTCATTTAGTATTTGTTTACTTTAGTCATGATAAAATATTAATAAAATATTAAATTATATAAATTTCCTTTTTTTCATTATACTTATAGTTTAATCATATAAATTATTTTCTAAGGGCGTGTGATAGAAGAAAAATTTACATAGTAATATAAACTAAATGATCATATATAAGCTATTTAATTGTAATTTTTTTATTTTTTTAAGCTATTTAATTGTTATTAAATGAGAATATTATTGAGCTCTTATAATAAAAATAAGTATGTATTTTGAGTTATTAAAAAAATCATATTTTTATTATTATACGCATTATTTTTTTTTTAAATAATATAACTTTGCTCACATGTTGGTTTTATAAGATTTTTAAGCTTGATTTGGTCATAAAAGACATTAAAAAATAATTAAATGGTAAAATGAAAAAAGAGAAGATGTCACTGTGATATACTTTATTTCAAATATTAATTTTAATAATATCATTTATGTGCTTCGATCTCAGGTTTGAATATCTCATTGGAATTTTTTATATTAGAATTTTAGTGAATTTTGAAATTAAGTTTTTAATGAAAAGTGAATAAAATAATCAATTAAATAGTTTGGCACACTATGTGGATTCAATTTCTATTTTATAAAATTTAGACTTAAGGTTAAGCAAATTGTCCATTTTTTATGAAATGGAGTAGTTTAATTTTGATCTCACCTAATTTTGTTTATCTCCATGTTACATTATTAAGGTTTCATTTAGAACAGCTTTTCTACTACTTTTTAAAGCAATTTAATATAAAAATTAAAATTTTTGTATTAAAAACTGCTTTAAGCAGTAAGAAAGCCGTCTCAACCGAATCCTAAGTTTATAGCGAGATTATTGAAATTGAGGAGTAAAGTTTTCGTACTATAAAATAGATATATCATGATATGATTGAATCTCATCTTTATGAACAGGCCTTCGTTAAAAATGAAAGGTTTTCAATAGAATGAAAGAGTTGACTTCACTGAAATGGTCTCGTATGATTAAACTTTCTATTATATGATTAGTATTGTAGTTGTTGAAGACTTACACTTAAAACATATAAATTTTAATATTATTTTCCTTGATGATGACCTTAAAAAAAAGATATTATTTAACCCAAAGATTTCATTCTAAAAGGAAACTTTAGCTCACAAACTTAACACAGACATGCATTGATCAGAGCTATCAAGTAGTATACATTAAACCCTGAAAAATGTGTATTAGAAGATTATAAAGTGAATCTTGTGCTACATTAAGGATATAATTAATCATTCATTAAAGTTTAAATAAGCTAACTCGGAAATCTAAAGATATGTTTAACTATTGCATCTATGTATTATAGCTCATTTAAACCACATATAACTCAAATACTACTATATACACAATTTGATTAAAGTTGATCTACTATAGCTCAATTAAATAAAAGGAGCGAAAAAGTTAATTGATATGCTTAAAAAAGTGATACGAATGTGTCGCACAAAAAAAAAATTCCAAATAAAAATCTTAAATAAGGACATTGAAATCGTTTCTCCAAGTAAGATATTGTTGGAATTGTGGTTATTGGAGCTAATTTTTCATATAGTAAAATCCTTACAAAATATAATTGAATATCCTCTTTAAATGCAAATCTTATAGATATCTTATGAGATCTTTAATTAACTTTAAAAGAACTTGTAATATCTTATAGAAATTAGTAAAAAATCATAATTATGAAACTCATTCATTGTTATCACCATAATTAGAGTTTTAAAACAAGTTGTTTGAGGTATCCATAATCATTAGCAAATAGAGCATATTATTCATTCTTTTTTGGAGACATCTCAAGGATTTAGTTCAAACAAAGTTGTACTGGCTCAAGGCAAATCAATCAAATCAAAACAATAGAAATGGTGAACTCGTTAAGATAGTCCTATACTCGTCATGATCGTCATAAACTCATCAAAATCATGAAAAACTCATCAGAGTATAATAATTCTAAGACTTGGCCAAGCATATTCGTCTTAGGCTTTGTTTGGGACAACTTTCTTACTGTTTTTTACAGCAGCTTTTTAGTACAAAAACTTTTTGAGCTGAAAACTTTTGTACTAGATAGCGATAAAAAAACTGCCTCAAACGAAACCTTAGTCTAATAAGTGATATCCTCTAATTAAGGCATTAACTCCATCCTATAAGTTGGAGACTTAAATCAATAAGTCGGGGATCTCATTCATTGAGATATTCAATTAAACTACTTAATATGAACTATATACAATCAGGCTACAAGTCTCGCATATTTTACAACAAACAATTATTACGCCTTATCATATATTTTTCTTATTTATGTGACTCAACATGTAGCCTTTCCTATAGCTCGAAACTATATTAACACTTTCTAATGGTAAATGTAAGAGACTTAATACTAAAATCACAAAATATAATATTATAATTAATAAGCTCCCCATAAAGTTGTTCATAAAAAAATACTCATTCATCCTTTTTCATTCGATCCTCCGCCACCTTATTTTTAGCTATTTTCATGCTCTAAATTAATTTTGTTTAATTATATTATTTAACATTATTAATACTATATTAATCCCAATATTTAATAATATAAACAAAATACTAATTAAAAACATGAGAAATTTGGTAAATCTAAGCCCATCTAGAACCTATATCTCAAACTTTATACAAATTATAATATCTTTATATATAGCTATTTTATAGTTTCACATTTTATTCATTCTTTGTGAAAATGCTAACCTAATGAAAATTAAAAAAAAAAAAATCCAATTATACTTGTCTTTAAAATTAATAGTAAGTCTTAATTATATTTGTCTTTCAAATTAATTCTAGATTATATTTTTGGCCTTTTAAGCATGCTTTTGGGGTGAGTGTTACTATTATTTGTGTAACTAAATATTTTAGTAAGTTTTTTAAGAACAA